TTTTATTTGCAGCTATGCGTGTACTTTGTGGAGCAATTATTTAAGTGCCGAGCACTAACTCCATGCCTTGGAGATGCTACGGTAAATCATGTCATGGGAACCCGACGCGACCTGAAGCACAGTCTAATTCTGCATCTGATTTACCTTCTTCACAGAAGAGTTGGTCTGCAACTGTAGTCAATCACGCAGGCAATGACGAGACGATGAAAAAAGTAAACTACGCTAGACGTGAATACATCAAGAGAGAAATAAGAAATACGTGAGTACATCTGCATCTACTTCAACGACTCGCTGACAACATTTTGCGTGTGATGTTGACGCCAGCGCACTTCGTACAACCCCGTTGCTGCTAAATGTCGACCGCAACCAGGACATCACTTTTCACTGTCAGTAACTTCCAGTGTTGCTCAGCGGGGCGAGAATTGACATGTGCTGCAGAATTATTAAGCTGTATGTAAACGCTTTGCCAATACCTGCGTGCGCTACTCTCACATAACTAACTACATGTGCGAGTTTTTTTTTTTTTTTGGCAAAACACGTCGTAATGACAAATAAGCAACTTAAGAACTTCAACTTGATGTGCCAAATATTTCATGAGCAACTTTCAGATTTTTCATATAAAGTTTGACATCCGACAGAATGCTAGGTTTAATATTTCTAATTCATTTCTAAAAGCATTGCAGCCAATCATTTCACACTTTACCAAAATGACTCGCGGCCCGAACATCCTCGTGACTGGAACGCCCGGTACGGGCAAGACGTCCATGTGCCAACAGCTCGCGGTGCGTTCTCGCTTACCCACGTACCCTACCATAACCTCCTGTGTGTTGCGCATTTATCCACGTCTCACTCACCTCATAACGTTGCGTACAACCTTCAAAATCATAACAGGAGCGTTCGCAACTGCTCACTCACCTGAACGTCGGCGATTTGGTGGGTTTTATCTCGACTTCTACTGCGAATTAAAAGCTCGTTCAAGGCTTCCAAAGTAGCTCAAATACTCTATATGTTGACTGCAATGTGGCGTCGCTGTAGGTCAAGGAACGTGGCTTGCACAACGGGCGTGATGAGGAGTTTGACTGTTTCGTGCTCGATGAAGACAAGGTCTGCGATGAGATGGAAGACATGATGGCTGAGGGTGGCAAGGTGGTGGACTTCCACACGTGTGACTTCTTTCCTGAGCGTTGGTTCGACCTAGTGGTGGTGCTTCGTGTGGACAACACGACGCTCTTCGACCGCCT